ATTTAATGTTTTTAATTAGTACCTGTTTCAAGAAAGTGTTATTTATGTTTTCATGTGATTTTGTTTTTGCTCCAAATTCGGCAGTATGATGAGGCTGCATTGCATCTCGTTGAATAAATCGAGAGGGCGCCGCAGCCGCCTCCGTTCGGCCATTAAGCTTTTCGATAGTGGATACTCTTCGGGGTTTACTTTGTTTTATTACTTTCATTTTATTGTTTTAATTTGTGTGCGGGTGCGCTATTTGCGTGCGCGCAGTTTGTCGCGCGCCCCGCCCATCGTCCGGCGGCCAATGGCGCGCCTCCCGCTAACGAGGTGCTGTCGCACCCGCGCTCGCCCGTCGCGCCCGCGCCGCGATGCACCGCGACCACGCGCCCGCGCACACCACACGCACAGACATCGCGACAATGCTCATTGTTTCAAACTATTCTTATTTTGTTTTAGTTAGGTCCACCTCGCCGGTCGACGCGCGCCTCCCACCGAGCGATAATTTCAATGTCGTCGCATATATTGTGATATTGACTGAGATTCCACTCTGCCCATGTTTTATCGTCGGAGGCGCGTTTCGTCAGAGCTACTCAATAAGCAATAAACCATTCGCCTCCGAGGAGTTATTTTAAACCCTGACTGGGACTCGAATTGAGCCCACGCCTTTACACCTTTTAAAGGTTATTGTGTTTCCGAAACGCTAAAGATATAAGCATTCAGCAGTCTCGCAAACATTTGCACCGTCAGTAAACACAAAACATTTGTTTTAATAAAATAAGATATTTTTATGGAGTTGCTTCTAGCAGCTCCACCACTTAGATAAGCTTCACCTACTGAAGAAAATCAAAAAACAACGGAGTCACGAATAATATTAAAGGGGAAACTAAGCAATTGATAGTAAAAATGGGCGTCGAAATAGAAAAATATCGTCGGACGCATTCGTGGCCTGGTAAAATATTCAATCGGGGCAATTCGGGTCCGCGTATAAATTCGGTACCGCCATTATTTGTAGCGCGTCCTCGCGACCGAAAATCGGTACCTACATTGATAGTCGTCATTTTTCTTGTAGGTATCGTTAATATTTTACGGGTGCGTGTCAACGGTTTATGGGCTCACTCTTAACACTAAAACGTTTTAGCCGTGCTCTCATTGTTTATACATTTTACTATCCACTTTTTATAGTTTATTGCAGCTTGAGTGCTGTTCGGGGTTATGACACCGCGCGTAACGTTTCTCTGACGTTCGATTGTATGCCATACAACTTGATTTTTATTGCGGTCTGATGTTAGACGGAAACTTTTGGAATTGTCATGTGTATATTTGCGTGAACTGCCAGGCACTAACTGTCGATGATCTGGTGGCGTGCTCCGATGAATCAAACGTAAGCGGCCAATAAAGATACCATAGACAGCGATATCATTTTGTAATGCCTTAACTTAATTCCACTTGCATTGCTTTTTGGTACGAATTTTGTAGCTTATAAAACCTAAAGTTTGCTCTTTGCCCAATAATATTTTGTATGCCTGCAAAGAGTTTACGCTCCTCTAATTTCTCATTTTATAATAGACTCGATTTAAATTCTGAAATAAAGCCATGCTATCGTACAACACATAACAACGGACGGGTTCTTATCTAAGTGTAATTATCCGTCCAAGTTTGCGAGCTCAGAGAAAGAATTGATCACGCCCTTGTGTGTGTATGTGTCAAGGGGTGCGAGAGGAGAAGTGGGAGGGAGTGGGCCGTGGGTAGGCTCGCATGGGACGCGCTCTAATGAGGTGCCTGAAAGCGACAATGTCTTTGAGTAAAGCAAATGTGTAGGTATCTACATACGCGGGGAGTGACGCCTCCTATTTCATATATTCTATTTTAATGTTTATCTAGTGGAGTTTAGGGGTAGATAAACAAAATAAATAATATGTATAAGTACTTGAGGTGTTTTCGCGTTTAAGACTTAATTCGTGTTCTCTCAACATTTTGTTCGGGCATTCTTTTAAATGTAGGGTTCTATGCAAAGATACCTACTACTTATACGTACTTAGTAATACTTTACGATTATCTTAATCCGTTTTTAGGGTTCCGTTTCTTTAACGTAAAAACGAACCCTTCGTTGTCCGTCTGTCTGTCAAGACCATTCTTATTACGCACGCGAAACAATCAAACTGAAGTAAGCATGTAATAGTGGTAAAAACATCAAACTTAGAAGTCAGCGCAATAAAAAAAAAAGCCTTGTATTTTAATTTATTGTAAGTAAATTAAATCCAATACTATGAAATAATACCATCACAGGCCTGAAATCATGAAATTTGATGAGAAGCTAAACCTCACGGTACAAGTTAAGAATAAATCGAAAGTCGTTGATTTTACATTAAATACTTTAAGTTTATAAATTTAATAAATTTTGTCTTTGGACATTTGACTGACATACCTATAGAGATGCATTTTTATTATACAACGATAGAGAATATTTTTAATCTAAGAAAAATTTAAAATTGTAGTTAAAAATCTTCACGAATCGACTCTACATGGAGAATCTCTCTGCGTAGGTACATATAGGTAAATTAGTACGGAATCCTCGGTTCAAAAGTCAAACTCGTACTTGTTCGAATTTTTATGGGAATTTCGATGAAGTTTAGCTCACGAAGGATTCTTTATTGTTTCTAGGAGTAGAAAAAATCTTCTAGCTAATAAACAATAGGCAATAACATGTTTATTGAACGATGCTTCAAGATAACACACGCCATTGATAATTAAAAGGAATCCAACCTTATTATACACTTTACGACATTATATTGATGTGAGGCTGTTTATGCAACCATATCAACTCTCCCCAAGAATCTTGAGATATTCATACATATATCTCAAGATCCTTGGGGAGAGTTACATATATACATCTCACGATCCGTTAAGAGAATTAAAAATCAGAATCTTGTCAGTGATATCCGCCAAAGGCGACGGTTAACGTACGACGCGATCGCTCGCCGCTGGGAGTAGCACCGAACGCTTACAGGGGTCGATTGCTTGTTCCGGTCCGGAGCCGGTTTTAATTTCCCGCGCGAGGCGGCGGCGCGTTAAGTTTAAACGGCCGGAGATGAGCCACACGTACTAATATCATGCACGGCCCGGGCCGTCGCCATAGCGACGCACACTCAAATGACGTGTGTGGCGGTACGCGGGTGTGAGGCCGGGGTAATATGATTTGAGCGCCCCCGGCCGCGGCGACACCCCGCCCGCTTGTTTGCTCTCCGATGCAATCGCGATACGAGCGTTCTATCCCCCGCGCACCCTGCAGACACCCGCCCCTCCGCCGGCGACACATCTCTCACCTCCGTCGTCGATAACCGCATCGGATTCCTTGTTGCAAGCCACCGCATTCTATTGAAATAGATACCCCGCGCTCGCCTATACACCTACCTACTGCTCTACTCGATTTACACGTCACCCCTTGCCGCACAATTTTCAAGTCCACTCGACAGGGCACACTCTTTCTTGAAGTTTCTGTTATCTATTACTTCATAGGTCTGAACTGTCATGTACGCTGTTTCCTTTCAAATAGGTTTGCATATTTACCTTTCCACGTTGTCAAATATCACTTTTATCACATTTTCTTAAAAATAGGTCCTTATTTCCAACGTATAATCGCAACGATCGTGGATTATAGTCCTAATGCATCAATCAGACGATTTCTCCTTTCGCTCAGTAACAGGCGGCGTCGTCTTCTAGAAATCTTTTTGCGTGTTAACTTAATTCTGTGCTGTCACATTCACGATGGAATCTCACGAGTTTACACAGCGGCCAGTGACAATTACGTGGAGGCTGTGCTCATTAGTTGCGGATGCGCAACCGCTTTATGTATCATGTATGTGATGTCGCCTCGCTTGCCTCCGCGCTTGATGGGACAATAAAGCAGTCAATCGACACCGTTGCGCTGTCCTTAAACAAGATAGGAGATACTGTTGCGGATGCCTCATCGTTCGGTCATATCCACTAGATACATGGTTTTTATCTTACACTACTGTCTAGCTGACGACTTTCTGGGAACTACTTTAATGTTGACTGTTATTTTAAGATGGAAGATCATCTCAAAATGGTAGGCAGTACTCCCCCTCAGACTTGAGCAACACCACCTCTCTAGGTTTCCTAATAGGGTGACTGAACGGTGTTCGGCGTGCAAGCCGCCGTAATTGCGGCGCGGCCGCCGGAGGCCGCGGATAATGCCGTACGTGATATATGGTACTACGGCTAATAACATAGCTCGAGTCCTGCGCCGATTATCCCTTTACTCAGCACAGATGAATTCGTATCGATCGCAGCATCGCTCAGTCTCACTTAATGAGAGCAGGATTTCTTACTCATTATCCACTTTCGCTCAGCGGTGGTGCCCGAGGCGCGATGAAGACGTCGCGGGTCGCGACGTTCGCCCCCGCACACAATTTGCCTGAGCACTGGCGTAACGCTGTTGCCCGCACCGCGCTTTGTACTTGATCCTCGGTAATTGCGGACTGGGCACTTTATACCACCTAAGGCATCACTACACGAATGACGGTAGTCGATAATTGCCTTATTGGTTACCTAGCTCTATCACGACTAACTCACACATAAACCGCTTTCAAAGAAGTTACGATTAAATTAGGTAGAAGGTTCAAACGTTGTCGGGCTTTGTTATTGCAACAATTAACTTAGATACGAAAATTAATAGTTGCATCGAAACTAATAATAAAACATCGCATGTTCACTCGAGGCGGTTGAATGTTACCACACCCTATTCTTTAAAGTAATTTTCTCTTACCCCGTATTCGTTCCATGATGGCCCACAACTTAGTATTACTCGTGTTTTGTCTTTAGAATATTTAAGAAACAATTATTGTAATTAAAATAACCTAAACTATATAATATGGGATATTTAAGTTGTTACCTAGTAATCTAGACACGCCATTCGGACTTACGTCAGCAAAATCTGAAACTAAAATCATAGGAATGTTACCACATATTGCATTACAACATATTGTCTATTCCAGGTGGCTTGGTCGCGGTTCAATGTTTGTCCTCTCCGAGGCACAAGCGCAGGCGTTACTTCGGCCAGGGGGACCTGCTATCGGCGCCGGCGCTCTCGTGGACGTCGGCGCTGGAGATGGCGAAGTCAGCCGCCGCTTCGCTCACATCTACCCACACAATTACGCTACTGAAATATCTGCTAGTATGAGAAAAACCCTCGCAAATAAAGGATACAAGTAAGTCAACCACGCCTTCTGTTTAATGCAAAGTGGTTAAAATAATTTCTTTTTAAGCACGGGCCCCGTAGAAAGCATCCTAATCCGAGTTGAAATTCTTAGCTGATCGTTTCTTAAAAGTTTATTGAAAGTTAGACAACTAGTCCTAAGTTGAGAGTGACTGGTGACTATACCTGCCAGTGTAAAAACAAGCAATGGGTATGTTTTGTGGACTCTATCTATGGTCGTTAGAGAGCCTTACTTTGGTTCACACGGACCGGCCTGACCGGAGTCATACCACGGCCTGGGACTAATCCCTCCCACACGCCCACCACTGTAACAGTGACCCACGAACACACCGAAGGAACATGCAATAAATCCACTTCCGTCCTTAGCAAAACGGACGACAAATTGAAGTAAAATACATACATCCTCTTAAACAGGGAAGCACCACGTCCTCAAAATATTATCGTTGCCGTCGGCCACAAAATATTATCGAAGCCGATATGCCACAAGCACGGACCTAGCACTGATCCCTGAGGACATCCCAGTGTAAGCACCTTGGTCACAGAACGATGACCAAGCCTTTGTTTAGTTGTAACTTGTGAAAAGTACGAAGATATAAGGGAGTAAATATTTTTAAAGAGGGGTGCCCTTGATTTTAATTAGAGATATATCTAAGAAAATAGTCAACACGTATTAAAATTTTGACTCTGTGACAATCTTCGTAACCGTTAACATTGCATCAATTTTCAATTTCCCCAACAAAAATCCAAGTTGTCTATCATGAAATTTAACTTCACCCGGCAGAAGTCGGAGCACTACAAGACGTTTTAAAAGCTTTTCTAACGATGGTAACAATGTGATTGGTCTGTAGGATTTAGGAACATCCGGCAGGTTGTCACCGCTTTTTGGTATTATACGAATACTGCGTGTCACCCGAAAGTTTACAAGCATTTTTTATCATTTTGTTTTATATTTTATCATCGCCTAAAGCCTTGTTTAGCGGCAAGGATCTAACGATACTGAGAAATTCCTCTGAAGATGGTAAGTCAGACATTGGTGGTAAGTCAGAGATCTGTCGGTGATAATCAGTGTCATTTTCCGGCCAATCGTCAGGTACGAGTGATTCTGCTGTTTGTTCTTCTCCTTTGGTATATCTGTTATTAATTTTGATGTTATGTATGTATACAAAGTCGAATGAGATATTTGCCTTAAATTCATGATACAAAGGTGACCACGGCCCTCTCTATCGAGTTTATCAACAAGATTCTGAATTAAGTTTCCCTTGCATTGTTTCACAGCAGCTCTGTAGTGGGACCTGGCAACTCTAAGAGATGAGAGCATTATTGTACAAGTCTCCTGTTACTTTATGCTTTTTACGTTATGCGTTATTTCCTACGAGCTTTACGGTAGCTTCTACTTAGTTTGGCTAATTTGTAATTGGTTTGTCTGTGATGGGTGTGATTGGTGTGATTAGAAGTATATGAGTGTGACTGTGTGTCTTACTGTAGTGATGAATGAGGTTGCTAAAATTGTTTGTAAAATAAGTGTTATTTACTACTATATATGTTTTTAACAACAAATGGCTAGTAAATAGTGTTATTGTATTAGGTACAAAACCTGTAAAAATAGTTGTATTGTGTGTCATATAAATAAATAAATAAATTTATCATTCCACCACATCTACGAGTGTTAGTGATAGATCCGCGGGGATAATTATAGGGAGCTCTTTGCGGATCCTGTGTAACCCTTGGTATGAATTCGTACACAATCAAGCGGTGATCACATACACATTTACAGGATGCGTCCGGGAGGACACGCCATCCAAATATCGAGACGTTGCCGCGCAATTGCCCGGCTCGCACGCACGAAAAACCGGTGTTAAGCAACTTTTTCATATTTTTTCACTGACTAGGTGTGGTGACTGATTAAGCATACAGAGTGTCACCACCTCTATTCATCCTGTGGGTAAGAGCCGACTAAGGGAGCAAGGAGCTCTGCAGCAACAGCACTGCAAAAAAAAAAAAAGAAAAACTTGAAACAAACCCTATATCAACCCGTCTGGCCAGTGTGATATCGAAGGGCAAAACCTCCATTGTAAGGAGAGGCCTATGACCAGCAGTGGTCTGTCAGGGGCTTTTGATGATGAGTAGGTGAGAGAGGTTACTCTCAATTGTGAGAGAGAGAATCTGAAAGAGCAGTAGCGCAGAAAACACACACAGTAGCACAAAGTCACTAGATTCGGGGAAATTACATTTTATTATATTAAAAAAATTAAAAACTTACAACTCTAGAAACTTGCAAGACCACGAAAAAACAGTAAACTGTCAAAGTATTTTGAACCATACTCCTGCGATATTCGTATAATTATATAATTTATATTAAGTTTTTTTTTGTATCTATATTAAGTTTTTTTTTTCAGAATATTGGACACAGAGAGTTGGCATCGCTATCGCCAGTTCGACTGCATATGCATGTTAAACTTGCTGGATCGCTGTAACAAGCCAAAAACGATGCTGTTACAAGCTAAAGACGCTCTAGCTCCAGGCGGCATCCTTTTGTTGGCTCTTGTGTTACCTTACAAGCCTTACGTAGAAGGTACTAAAGTCACATTTTATACAAACCATATTTGTTATAAACCTATTTGTTAAACCTCCTTTCTAAGGAGAGGCCTATGTCTAGTAGTAGACTATTAAAGGCTGTTGATGTGATATTTGTTATGCTAAGACACGTTACTAGGCATAGATACACGTTTTTCCATCTGTATCACGGAAGTTGTTCGCTTAAAATCTCCAGTATAACCATCGGCACCTCCTTCAATTATGGGATCACTAATCAAGCCACTTGACTTGATTCCTTTCTTGACAGGATCAAGGAAGATATTCAGAGCACTCAGATTTCATAAAGCTTCAAGATCTTTAGATTTATTTTAATTTTGAATTAAAATTTCAATAATTTAAGGGATTCGGATATTTAGGAAACATTTGAACATTTACCTCCTTTACCCCTCCTTAAGAGCCTTCAGATTTCATAAAGACTTGAAATATTTAAATACTATTATTTTACTTATTTTTCAATACCTAATTTAAGAGATTCTGGAACATTCACAAAATATTTGAACATTTCCTAAACCAACATCAGAACTAACAAAATCTAATTTAATGTATTCCTAATTACAGTCACCCCCGACCACAAACCTGAAGAACGTCTACCAATTGAAGGCGTTGATTTCGAAGGACAGTTGGCGACCTTCGTCAAGTTCATGCGCGAAGAGGTTGGCTTCGAGCTGGTCTCATGGACTCGAGCCCCCTACCTATGTGAAGGCGACTTCGCACAAGCATACTATTGGCTAGACGACTCTGTCTACGTGTTTAAATCAACTGCCGATACCCCCGCCATATCGAAAACATCTTAAACAACGAACAATATTCTTCCAAAATGATCGTGGATCGACTCACACATCCACAGTCAAAGCAAAGTTGTGAATCTAGCTTTAGAAGTAAGTGTATGTGTGTGTTTCCTTAAGATCCTGCAGAATGTATACGTTCCTGGCGTTTTAAATGTACTAGTGTAATAATGATGATATTAAATTTTTTATACTTTTTCATGTTGTAATGAGATATTTATTTGTATGCACAAGCATATGCGGGTTTAATGTAAGGATGTTCGCAATTTAAAATTGTGTTCATGCGGATCCGAATTCCATAGTTTAGCTACTTAAACTGAAATTAGATTCTTACTTCGTAAGTGTAGATCCTATTTTAAAATACAATGTGGTAATTGTCTATTATACTTTAACTATTTATTCGACCTGCGGATGCTTCTAGTAAAAGAAAGACATGCCAATCGGAAAGCTACGATCTCATGTAGCTTTTTTCACAAAGAGAAAAGTATGAAAAGGCCGTTTTAACGTAGTAATCAGTAAACATTTTTGTATGGTAAATTATTTTAAATAAAAATTAATAAGATACAAATGGAGAAATAAAAAAAGGCATAAGTTACGCTTAGTATTTTACTTGTTTAGTAAGTAATCTTCACGGGGGTTCGCAAAAACTTTCAGATAAATACTTCAATGTGATCATTTAAAAAACCGGCCAACTGCGTGTCGGACTCGCCAGGGTTTCGTACCATTTTCTATAAAAACGGCAAAAAACACGTTTGTTGTATGTGTGTATAATGTATGTTAAATATTTATTTTATTCTGTTTTAGTATTTGTTGTTATAGCGGCAACAGAAATACATCATCTGAAAATTTCAACTGTCTATCACGGTTCATGAGATACAGCCTGGTGAGAGACGGACAGACAGACGGACAGCGGAATTTTAGTAATAGGACCCCGTTTTACCCTTTGGGGGCGGAACCCTAAAAACGATAATTTATTGCTTTAACTCCTAATATGACATCCGGATTTAAATTTCTGATTTAATTACAATAATACATTTTAATTTTATTGTAATGAGACTTTAGTAGTCCATAATGGTATACATTTAGTTTTGTCTTTCACTGTCATAGATGATGATGTGATGTGTGTAATAACAACAAGTTAAATAAATTGTCTAGGAACTTGAAATTTAACAAAATTATTTAAAGTCTAAACTTACTCGGTTTAAAGTTCAATTAACTGAGCAAAAATTCATGCATTTATCCTTATTTAAACTATTAGTGTATCAAAAATAAAGGGGCAAGACTAATATATTTCTAGTTAAAAGTATAAATCACCAGCATTTCATTATTTTGATAAATAAATACTACGCTTGTATCTATCTGTGTAACTACCAAAGTGCATTTATTAAATTAAAACTCTATTGCCTAATTTTAATGAAGTGATTTTTAGTTATATTTATCTGTCCCATCGAATTTTTGTTTACGTTAAAACCATAAAATTTTTAAATAATATTTTTTTACACCCAAAAAATTCATTCATACTGCTGCTGACGCAATGGCGCAGTGGTTAGAAGAACTAAACTCATGAACAATCTATCTTACACAAATATTTGTGTTTGATTGTTCATGAGTTTAGGTGTACTTCGTAGCAGTCGCGTGTGGGATTGAAAGAGCAGCAAAGAAATACACAAGCCGTTCAATGACGTTGATGTATCGAACGAGCCTCTTGCATAGAGCCTTACTTTCTCAAATCACAAATAGCCCGTACCTATAATATTCTAGGCTCGATAGAATATTATAGGCACGGGATAATTTAGCTGCGTAACAACTTTCTGCATTCGGTGAAAGTGATTTCGTGAAAATAAACGGAAGTCCGTAACAGGAAGCCGGTGAAGCGCGCGCTATTTGATTTAACCGATGAACGCTATTTGACTAGGCCAATGAATGCGTGTTATTTGATATATGACCAATAAACGCGCGCTGTGCTAAATGTCAGATGTTATTCTTCATATTATGAGGCTACTGTAGGGCTCGCTGTTCTTTTTATTTTACTTATACGTGCATTATATTCTTAGACTTTCTTTTCTTAAGCTCCAAAAAAGGTATACATTATCTCATGATAGTCGCCACTAATATAATATATAATGTATGAAGCGTCAATCTCTCATTGTACTTGAGTTACCTAACTCATAAAAATCATGTAAAAACGGCATTATGATGAAAATATTATTACAAAAAAAATAATATTATTATTTAAAAAAAAAACTTTTTTTTTAAAGGCTACTCCCGCATTAGGAATATTTTCCTGTGTCGCGGTGGACTTTACAAACATGCATGAAATGGACACAAAGTGTAGTCCTATGTGGGGATCGGACCCACAACACTCAGCGTGGTAGTAAGCGGCGTAGCGACCGCTTAAACCATCGCCATCCGTGCAGTCAAATGTTAGGAAGCAACACCAATTTACTCTAATTATTATTATAATAAGATTATTGTGGTTTTAGTGTCATTGAGACAAGTGATGATGATGATGAGACAAGTGTCGCGAGTTCAGTCCAGCTAAGTCGATCATATTATGTGGTTTTATAAATACGTAAAACCACATGACATTTACCTAAGAAAGATAAAGAAAAGAAAGTGGATCAATTTATTACCCAGGCTCTGTTGAATAGCATTACCTCTCCGTAAAATGACGTCATTTAACCACTCACCTTTAGAGAGATTGCTAAAACATGATCCAAACAATAAGGCCCTTCCTCGAGAGTCTGTAGATTACTTCCTGAAAATAGCACAATAATAATATATGTTTCATAATATAATACCTAATAGGATCATTTATAAATCTATTTAATTCTTCATGTTAATTAGCACTAGTTACATGTAAAAATATTAACTATTGTAATATTACCATAGATTATTTGTACTTTTTCTACAATATTTCATGAAAAATTACACCACTTGAATTATTAATAATTAATTATCAAGACCGCCTTTCGGGTTACGCGGATTGCGTGGTAAGTGAAAATATGCTATTAGCTGCCTACATAATTTAAGTAAAGTTATTCAGGTATAAACAGAAAATCTTTCTAAATTATCACTTTACCAATGTCAGTGGTCCTGACCGGCGGTACAAGAGTGATGAGCAAAATAGATGTTGTATTTTACTGTGCCAAAATGTGATTCCATGGCATAAGTACATTCAATATGTCATTGTGTATACACGTAGATTAATTAACCTTATGTTATAATTAATTTAACATGGCGAATGTCATGTCATTATAAACTCATCTTGAAATTAGTGGGAGAGCGATCCGTGTGCTTTATAAATTAGCTGATGTATTGGATTGCATTGAGAAATGCCTACAGATTCATTAAAAATCACGAATGTTTCCTGTTAGAAATGGCTAATGGACGTCGCCTAAACTGTTTACAGAGTCGAACTAAAAACTGCACGCCGTCTACCACCAGCCGGGTGTAGATGACCCCCTTCCTCCCCTCGTGTGTGAGAACCAGTGTTCCCATTCTGCTCCCTAGAGGGCGCTGCGATCCACAGCGCGTCACAACCTCCAGCCCGGCTGCTTCTGCTAGGGTGGTACATGGCCACACCTGTCAACCCCCAAGCATGCGCTTATGAAGGACGTAGGTCCTGCTACGACCGCGCCCCTTCCCAGGCCTAGCGGACTAGGAGAGTTCTAATCCTCTCCCGGTCCTGCTACGGTGTCTCCTCCTACCTTGCTCGCAGAAGGAGAGGGCCGAGTTCCACTCGCTCTCTCGCCGTACCATGGCCACAATTGTGGTACCAAGCGAGTCAGTCACAGGTGATCTCCGAAGCATCTTTTCTCAGTGATCACCTGCGTCAGCTGGTATGAGAGGGTCCCGTGATGCCACTCGAGCCAATCCTCCATTACGGGTCTTAGCGCCGCAATAACGGCGTGCCAGACACCTGTGGGATACTGTATCCCCTAAAGGATAGACTGAGGGGCATTATACATCAACAATATGACCACTATAATACCACCACCATAATTTAACAGTTTATTAATGTATTCCAGATCCACCTTTTTGACTGACGCTCACTATGTTAAATAATAATTTTGATTGGTGTACTTCGTAAGTAGTGCATAATCATATATATATATTCTTATAATTTTGTTTGTTTTTTATCGCATATATGTCTTTGTTGGATTTTAAACACGCGATATACATTATATTATAAGTGAAATTTCATTTTACACAAGTTTGTACAGTTTTAATGTTCGCTCTATTTAAATATACCACGGAAGTGAAATTAAAACGTAAAAGTTGTAATTTTAATCAATATTTATTTATCTCTAAGCACTGCTTTTCATTTCTAAGTTTCCACCTTTACAATTTAAAAATTCTCCGAATACAAATAATAATTTACATGGCAAGGCCAATTCAGACAGAATATAGGCATACATACAGCTGATGGGAGTTAAGTCAAACATATACATATGTGTGTGTACTTTAAATAGCCAATATTTCAGTGGTCAACAAACATTCAGGTTCATTCAGTCTAATAAATCCCTACCAGCTATAATGTACACTATTAACTTAAAAATATATAGAAACATAATTTATTTGTATAATAGTAACTATCCGATTGGTATATATTGCATTTTAATGTCAAAATTACATTTTGATTGAATAAAAATTTATCACAGTATTCAGATGCCAAAACGAGAAATAAACATTAGTGGTACGTATAACCGTATAAATGCTTTTTCAAGGAGGAATACACAGTATAATATTGGTGATGAATAATTTCCATAATAATATGTCTATAAATATTACAATACCATAAAAAAAACTAGGTATGTTATTACGTATGAAGTAACCATCATTACGGTAAAGTGATACATTGGAAACGCGCCGCGTCGCTGTCAGTGTCAGTAGTTGACGTTCGCAAATCTGTTTTACTAATAAGACGATCAAGCTAATGAAACGATCGAAAAGTAAATTTGTGCGAGACTGGAAGTACAGTTTAATATTGCAACAAAAAAGTATGTCATGGGTTTGCCGAGCAGGCAATAGAGCTTCTTTCTAGAAATTTCATACGAAGCTGTTGAGTGACATACTTTTCCGCCATCATTAGAGCAAGACCAGACAAAGCGCTGCGTAAAACAAGGCACCGACCTATAAATTTTTCATAACTTAGAAAGAATTCTAATCATATTTATAAAAATGCAATACGAAATCCATTTTTGACTAGAAAGCTTATAATTCTAATACAGAGAGAGATTCTTTTGGAAGTTTCTAATACTTTTTTGAGAACAAGAATTTGACGGTTATATCAACTTAATACTAGGTGTATTGTTAGTTGTCGATGAATACGTAGTAGCCTCGTTAAATATTTGGATTGTGTACCAAAACGATTACTATGTAATGAATCGATATAATATACCAACTATTAGCTTTCTCGTTGTAAACAGCTAATACGAAATATGAAATGCCACATAAATGTACAACGCACTTACCTATAATAAGCTGCTTAAAATTAATAATATATTTGACAACAACCAATAAATTGTGATGCGTACATCGATCCGATAAAGAGACTGGCGGTCGAAATACTTACACGATACAATACAACTTCGCAGTCCTTTCCGTCGTGGTCTGTATAATATGATGTAAAGTTATACATTATACATATTGTTTATAATTTAGAATTACAATACTAAGATACAAAACTTTAAATTTAATGTAGGCTTTGCCTAATTATTGCACTAATCATTAAAATTATGTAGTCCATTATTTCACATGACGATGTTACGGAAGTAAATAGTGACTCCTTTCAATTATAGAAAACGATCAAAGTAAACTTCAGCCAAGCTCCTTCGACCATTCTATTTACTCTACTGCACACTGAGACGATATACATATAACACAAATTAATAGGTACTGTAAAAAACCTAATTACAAAATAATCATAATTTAAAAATTGAATTAACCTTATCGATAAAAATTCCGTGCGCATGACAAGACTCATCCCAGCGTGCAGTATGCACATCTCATCATAATTAAGCCTAATCTACACCCACAGGCAACATCAGCTAAGACGAACGTGAAAAATTTGCAGTCTTCATTAAGATACTAACCTCCCTATCACTCACAAGACAAGACTTGGCGATCAACCTTTATCAAATAATAGAACGCGCACAATACCTAGCGAGTTGCGCGCTCAAACGTATTCACATGGAGATGACTGGCCAAATGCAATGTCATGTTCGGAATGCGAACCTCTCGCTCGCGTTTGCGCACTTAACTACACACTCTTCTAAGTTATATTCATGTCAAGACTTCGCTCAGACCTACACCTATTACACTTCTATCACAGTGTAAATAATGCACTTACGATAATAACTCAGATTAAACTTAATTAGGACGAATCTTCAAATTAACGTAAAATACCTTAACCTTAATAGACACGTTCTTTAACAACGAAAGCAATAGCAAACATTTTTGTATGCCCTTTTACAACAGACACTATGAAACTATTAAAAAACAAAATTTTGAGTAAATTATGTAAAAAATCTGCAAACCAACAATCAAATAAGAGAAACCGCAAAACAAAGGTAGCGAGAAAAATTAACTATATGTATATTGTATGTAAATTCAGTTTGTGCTGAATGAGGTGATATTTCAAGATGTACATTCACCTAATATTCGAATTTATTCAGCGTAAGCTTCAACGCTTCGTAGCGCCTACGGCGTTCTTAGAATATTAAACCCCAACAACTTCCCACTTAAGTCGGCCCGTGTACTTTACGTTTAAATGCTATCAGTACAACATTTAAATATTACAACAAATAATGAATCATTGTGATAACTTACAAACTAATTACATGTTTTATTGTATAATGACTAAATATGCAGATCTATTTAAAATGTGAATTCAAATAATTATATTATCTTCCGAACACTGAAGTCATTTTTCTTCAATCTAGCCTCAGGAAAGCGTATCTTACATTGTTTTCTATCGCATAAAAGAGATGTAGTTCAGCCACCTATGCGGTAAAAAATATTGATTACCATTTAAATATGTTGTTTTTACATAAACGGTACTCGGTAATTACCTACCTGGATATTATTCTTTTTTTCTCTTTTTGTATAAATAAACTCTCTACTTTGAAACTCGCTTGTTAAAGTTAAAATTTCGTTATGTCGATAGGAGGCTACTGCCACTCCGTGATTTTTTGCTCGAGAGAAGCTATAAAAATGTAGTAAGATCAAAATAAGTATAGTACCGTCTAAAATGTAATGAGTGACTCTGTTTGCTAACATTTATACTTCAGTGTTCAGAAGCAGTCCAGCCGAGTATGAACAGTGCATTCCGACAGTGACGTAGGATGTATGGGGGTGACGTCACCGCGACGCTCAGCCGTCGGTGGCGTGCGCGTCCGGTGGCTAGTTGCCGCTCACTATCTTGCGGCTCTCCAATTCCTCCATGTTGTTTGAGCTGCAAAATAATGTACAAACAGGTATTTGTAATCTAGACAATATTTTTATTTAAATTTATCAGTGAATAAAATGGATACCTACAGCACTACAGGTACACGACACAAATATAAACAGGTTTAAACACTTACTTTTTATATTAAAGACTACGTTTTTCCATTACGTTTGAAGTTTTTTTTCTAGATGAAAAATACTTTGGCCTTTTTTACGTTTTAAAATATCTTTGCATTACGTTACTGCCAAACTTACCGAAGTTTATCATCATTTTTCCATGATGTGACTTGGATGTGTGGCGGCGGCAAGTAGCTTCGCAGTGACTGGACCAACTGAATAGTGTCCAACAGAACTGAAATAGATAATAAAAATTACCTTAATTATAATCCAAAGTTTGTTTTTAATTATTATGTTTTTTGAGTTTATACAATTTACAAAAATATTAAATTACAAATATTTAAAAGAGACATAGTCGTATAAAAGATATGCAGAAAGTTTCATATTTACAAATTAAAATTACCGATAGACTGGCTTTTAGGCAAGTCAGCACATGACCCAAAAAAGTACTATCATTATCAACAACAGCCATTAATAGTCCACTGCTGGACCTAAGCCTCTCCTTAGAAAGGAGGTTTTGGCCAACTATGCCACGTTGGCTAGACGGGTTGGTTTAAGATTTGTTTTAAGTTTTCCTTCTCTTTGCAGTGCTGTTCTCGTGCGTAGTTTGCTCCCTAAGTCGGTTCTTGCGACACCCACGCCACGGGATAAATAGGGGTGGCGACTCTCCATATTCTTAAGCCATCACCACACGGAAAAGTACTATGATTGTACAAATCACTAAAAGAGCCATAGCTGTTTATTTTCGTTAAGCAAATATAAAACAAAATAGAGAAAAATTAAAGAAAGGTTAATATAAAGTGCAGTATATTTTTTTTATTCGTTTAGTTATTATAATACATACCTACATATGTATAAAATGCGTAAAATTTTCTTCAATCACAAAAAATTGCTATTCATTAAAGATGAGAAAAATTATTTAATTTTTGTCATCCTTACTGCGATTCAGAAAACATAATGATTTCAAAAATAGCTGACGAAATCACAATGAGTTACCTACATTAAACAAATATATAGATGAAATACGTAATATAAAAGGGTAGTTACTTTTCTGCAACTGTTCGCTCTGCTTGCCGTAGGGCTTGCACATGGCGGGGCGCACGCAGGGCCGCATGCGCTGCAGGTTGCGCGCCAGCTCGGCGAAGGCGCGCACCACGCGCTCCTGGCCGCCCGCCCCGCCGCCCGCCCCGCCCACCGCGCCCCCCGCGCCCGCCGCGCCCGCGCTCGCCCCGCTGCGCTCGCTGTGGGCTACAGGGCCCACTGCGCTCACGCCTCCGGACAGCGACTCCAAGCTATCCAAGTTCGCTCTGAAAGACATTCGCTCCCTTTTACCGGTGGCTCCTCGAAACAAAATCGACTCGTCGAAAAACAAATCGTCGACTTCCTCGACACCGATGGTGTAAAAATCGAAACCACATTAGACTGACCGCCTACACAGGTGTAGTGTGGTGTACCTTTTCGTCTCGCTATCACGTTTTATAAATACAAGCTTAAAGTTGTGTATGCTGTGTGTAGCTTCAAGCTTATCTGCCTGCCTTCATTCAACACAGCAAAAGCCTAAACGACCAAATTAACATTGGTGGATGACTTTACAAAATAAAACATTTTGATTAGCTATAACTCTCTAGAAATATTAATTACAGTAATAAGTAATTTATGTATAACTAGCTGGTACCCACGACCACGTTCGCGTAGAATTTGAAAAGCGCTGCCTTAGTGAGTTCCATTCGCGGCCAAATTTTATAGGGTTTTTCTGAGAGGAAAAATAGCCTAAGTTACTAATTAAACTGGTTTTTAGCCATAGGTATCGTGCAAATAATCGTGTGAACATGAAAAAAACCTATTATTTTGACATTACAAACAGACACGTCAATTTTATTTATTTATATAGATAATAATGACTTGGCACATCTCACACACAGCCGTCTAATTCCGAACTAGACTGAACCTGTACCATGGTTACTAGAATTGATATATCTATAGTAGTGAGTAATAGACTCAACAATACAAAAAAAATTGCATGTTAATATACCTCAAAAAGTCTGTCAGTTTATGTTCATCACTATAATGATGTTTAGACTTGGAATCGAGGCCGGCTTGTGAAGATCCAGATGAACGTTGCTGTGAGTGTCCATACTTGTCAATCGATGATTGGTGACCTAGTGACCTATTCTGATGCTGAAGAAGCATTTGTTGATGTTGTGTCAACTTATCCTGACTGCGACGATCAGATTTATCGCCTGACAGACTACCTGAAATAGAAGAATAGCAATAGCTGATTTGACACTTAAATAATTAATGATTAGTTTTAGATTTTAATGGAGTAATTCCATATCATGGTCATTGATTTTTACATAAAAACTCACTGAGCGCGGCAAGGTGGGGTGTAAGAGGAAGCTGATAATCTTGTGCTAAGGCAGTGCTCCGCAATAAGCGTTCGACTGCCTGGTTGTCAGGAAGACTTGACGCACCCGCATCTAATACAAGATTAATACCTTGTGGTTAAAAACATAACAACATACTTATATAAAGAAAACTAACCGAACTACTCAGTAGATATTGAAGTATAGATGCAGCCACAAACACATCACATCACTTCTTTACATCAACACGATACGGGCCACGACGATGTTGAAAACGATTTATTAAAAAGTACACGGATAATTACTACTTTGTAGCTTTACACAATATGATTTCAAATCATAGACAACCACAAATTCCAGGGTGTTCAGACAGCTGAATAAAATACGTCAATCAATATACACCCAAATATTATTTCAAGGTCATAACTTTACAAAAAGAATTACCAGGTATGTATGTAGGCTGCTGAGACAAATGTTGCTGTATTGACTTCTGTGTCATTTCCAGTTGATTTTTGTAGTACCGGCAAGCAGGGTTAGGGCAGTTCTGAACTACTTCTACAATGAACTCCTTCTCCATTCCAAATTGCTCCCGCCCTATGGTATATGATTCTACAACCTGCCCAAACAAATGTAGTATAAGACAAAATCTTATAGGTATTAAACTAAAAATAAGAACCTAAAAGAAAATTATCGAATTAAAAAAATTGAAAAACTGTCAGGATTGACTATGTTAATGATATTAATATCACCTGCGTTTCTGTTATCAAAAACAGCCTTAATATGTTTATCTACAGTGTGTTGGTAACATCAGATTAGGATGCAAAAAAACAATTTTGCAACTACAAATATTTTAAATTAAGGGTTACAGAGATGAGATATGTATTGTTGTTTTAGATGAAAGGTAATATAAACCCTTCTCCAAATGCTGGTAGTATTTATGAATAAAATGTACTTTACTAACAGACAAACCAGAACTGCAAAGAATAAACACATACCAACTAGGTTTTTCAACACTAGACCAAATACACTAATAAAAATAAAATAAATACATACACTAAAAACAAGAGACAGAATGTTTATTGGCGTTTGGTACATTTCGGCTGTTATACGATATTTGTGTACGAATGTTGTTACTGCACATAGGTATTATACAGTAGAAATATTAGTTCAGTTAAATTAGCCTTAAAAATAGTAGCACAAAAATTCGCAGAGCTAAAAATTGGTATGAATGTTAGGAACATCATCATAAACAAATTCTGTTAAAGTCCCCATTGATCCCCTGACCCCCATCAACCTGGCTTTTTTTTTTTACTTCAAGATCAAGTCATAGGTCTCAAAAGATTTTTTGCGTTTTTTAGCAAAACAGGAAATTTTACCATACAATTAGGTCAGACAAAAGTTGTAGATCTATTATCTTTATTATCTATCAAAAATGTCTTTTACTTTTTTCCTATATCATGCTATCATCAATGATGTATCATTGATAATAGCGAAGAAACATTCAACAATATTTTAGATAAATGTGTATAGTATGTACCTACGCTAACATTTTGGTTATAGAATTACTTTAGTATTTGATGGCTTTAAGGATTGTAAGAGAAATTTAAAGCTGTAGAACAACTTTGTCGAACTACGTCAAGATCTTCTTAAATTTTATTTGATCAATTTATGACCGTTCCTGCCAGTCAACAGAAATTTCTTGCAAATATTTACAAAAGGTCTCTTTTCATTTCAATGTTGAAAGAAAGGTTTAGCACAGAAAATATATTGGTCAAACAAACTAATAATGGAAAAGCTCAACATGAGTCAGAAACATATTCATCAAAAAGTTTATCTGCTTTTGCAGTGTCAAAATCATGTAGATACTATTTTTTTATATAAAAAAGTTTTGAAAACGTTTGAAATACAAAAATTAGTTCAATGAGATGATGTTTTTAAAAAGAGTAACTCAACTCAACAAGAAGTTATCATAAACGGAATTTGCTTTCTTCTTTCAATGTATGGAACTCCTAAAAAACTACCTACTTAGATAAGTGTAAATATGCATGTTTTGTTAAAACTACTTGTAATAAAAAATGAGTTATTAGTGCTTGTCTTCCTCCAATTTCTGCTTCTGCCCATCAATTTCTTTTTGGGTATATGATCAAGTTCAAGTGTGGCTTGGTTACCAACTAGATCCCAAAGCCTGGAGTTGGAAGTTGATCAACAAAACATTGGCACCAGTCCAGATTTTATAGGCTGGTGCCAAAACGAATTTGAAATACTAAAAAGAATAAAGAAATAACAGGCAAAGACCAGATGAAAAATGTCATTGAAGTTCCAAATTTAAGAAATTAAAAAAATTAAGCATGATAACACACAAAGGATGCTGAAGTTTGATTTCTGTAAACTCTAGAACAGTCATACTCTGAGCAAATGCTTAAAAGAAAATTAACATGTGCACACAGTGTGACTGTGATATACTAATAGGAACAGCATATCATACCCTGTCAAGTCATAAACATTGTTATGAGTAAACTGCAAACACCTAGTTTTGTAAGAATAAACAATGCATCATACTCACAGCTCTGACAGTAGCTTCTAATCCTAGATGAAGTCCATGAGGTCCATTCATGTGCTTCAACATCACAGCATTGGCAAAATGCTCATAAGGCAATATTATTTTGCCATTCTCACGAAGTATCAGTCTACCTTGTGTGTCTAAACCCACTCTTGAAGCCATCATTCTAAAATAATACATTTTCTTGTACGTTTTTGGGACAGAATAAATAGACAATCCCTCAAAATTACGAAATTTATAAAAATATACAAAACGATACCTGCTCCGAACCAATCAGCTATATATATTGAATTTTATCACTTACTGTAAATAAGCAGCACTAGGTAGCATGGAAGATTCTTTCAGATCACTAAAGCACTGTAAAAGTTCTATGCTCGGACTCCAGCCTTTATTCTGTAGATAGAGTTGCAGTAGCATATATAACTTTTCTGTGACATATCCCTCGGCACCGTGCGGGGTTGCCGAGCTGGAAGTACTAGCCGCGCCACTGGAACTGCCCGTACTTTTAGCCAGTACGCTCTTCATTGTCTCCGCCAAATCCATCTTGTAGATGTCTAAGTAAGTCCTCTTTTGGGAATCCTTAAAGATAACAAACAAACAGCAAATAATGCCAACCAAGGAAATCGATAGCGCCAGACGTCCAGTAAAAAGCGCTTATGATATCTTGAAGGCGTATACTTACCAGAATGATAATATGATCGTGCACACGAATTAAACTGAATTTATGTAATTAAATCTAATTACAGACTCATCCATTCGATTTAATCATTAAAAAAAATAGAAATAGAATAGTAAGGTTTTTTGTTTAACACTTGACGCTGTCAATTTTTCTCTCCATCAAAACTATTTCTGTGTTGTAGGACTAAAAAATGAGTTAATATTACAATTTTTTACGAACTACCTTATTTTAGTTGATTAAACCAAATATTTTATATTATAAACAAAATCAGAACCAGACTCGGGTCACTTTGTTTCCTTTGCGCATTGTTTTATTTATTACTTCAGGCTTTAACGATATGATAGCAAAGTATGTATTTTAATTCTTAACTTTTGCGATAACTTAATAATGTACTATAGGTAAGCAATCACTACTTGGGTGCAATTTTAAATTGCGTTATCATAAAAAAATAACCATACTCACTTTCAATTTTTAAATCTGTTTAGCCAGTCTGGCCATGATAAGTAACAAGTAACGACCCAAATATTCGCATTTAAAATAGTAGTGTTATATTTACCTTCAAACATTGTGTCACCAGTCACCACAGTTGCCATTATGACACAAATTGTTATAAATAGATTTTAAATTAATTATTAGGCTGCTTGTACGAGATGCACAATTAGCTTGCGCATGTTGAGGCACTTGCGTAAGTTATATGCTTCGCGAAAAGGAGTAAGCAAGTCCGACGATTCTCGAATCACCAGCGTAGTAACCCACAGGCAAAATTTTGCTTTTAGTGGGTAGTGTTTTTTTTTAAGTGGTTAGTAGTAATATTAAGATTGTAGAGGACTTAGAAAATGTTGTTGAAAGATTACTGTGAAAACTGTTTGTGTATACAAACTTCAAGATCGTTTGATAGGAAAGAAAGGATGGGGATTGGATAGAAGTGCTCAGGAAGAGAATGATTGTACTACAATGAGATGATGTATAAAGTTTTCAGTCTATATTTACTCTATAACTTTGAGGACGTAATCCAGGATGGCAACTATTATCCTACGGCTTACAAATCATTGCGTTACAACATGTCTGTTACATTGTCTGTCGACAGAATGATCTTTTTGACGTCCCCAGAAGGCACAGGAGAAAATTCAAAGTTGACAAAATTGGGTCTTGGCAGACTAGCGATATAATTCCTAAGAGTCCGACTTCGATAGGGAGGGGAAGGGACTTCGATATTTGAATAATTAGTTACCTTTGGTATTACCCACTTAAAACAGCTTCGTTTCAATGCCAATGTTGAGATGAGAGACTATAGGTATAAACAAAGGAATAGAATGAAGTTCAATTTATTATCAGCTATGTTAAGAATACACTGTAGTTTGAAGCTAGAAGGAGAACTCTGCAACAAATATGAAATTTCAATATCCGTTGTAAGATAAATCCTTACCAAAGAATCGTATTAATCTGGAACCGACGAAGACGTGCTGACAAAAACGATAAGTATCAGTATTAAATTTTAATAATATTAAGGAAACTAGTTATTAATTTGTTAATGGTTTTCTTTCTAAAATGTTTAGTGGAAAATTTAGTGCCTATTAGAGTAAGGTCGTTTTTCGTTATTGGTTTTCTGTTGGTTTCAGATGTTGAATCTGTTGGAGTTCACTTAACTATTGGCAACACTGTATAAACGTTAGTTTTGACGTTTTGTTTGTAGCAACAGAGAGGTTATATCGAGCATACCGTAAATAAAGATTGAAGCCAGACAGGTTATTTTATTGAATGGAAAATATTTTTCTATAATAAGTATAATGGACGAGTTGATAGTAGGTACTTACGAGGGTTTCCTGCTTGGTTACTCAATTCGGACTGAAGATTCAGTAAGTAATTAGTTACAAATGGTTTTAGTAGTCCTCTGAAAAGATTTCTTTACTTACAAAGCATTTCCTTTTTAGATTGTGAAATTGAAACAGACTTTCGCAACACAGTCACATACAGCATCAGTTCGGTGTGTTTCAATCGGCGGCAAATTCCTTGCTTCAGGTGGCACAGACGACAAAGTAGTTGTAATCGATTTGAAGACACGTAAAGAACATACAGTTCTCATGAATCATGATGGGACTGTGAACAGCATTGCATTTACACATAGCGGGACGCATTTATTGACGGGCAGTGATGATGGTTCTATCATTGTTACAAGAACTGGAAATTGGCAAATCGAAAAGATATGGAAAAAGGCTCATGGAGGTAAGTGTGCAGCGAATTGTGGATTTTAATCATATTGTTATGTGAAACCGTCCTAATGTTTTAGAATTATGATGTATAGTACGAATCAACTAATTAAGACTTCAATATATAAACCTTTTTTGTATATTAAATATTTTACTTATATTGCATTGACTGTTGTCATGTCTGTTGAACAGATTTTCATTTGTAGAAAAAACAATTTTGTCTTCCCCGTTTAGGTCTAATACTAGCCTTACAATTTATTTTTAATCGCCAAATGCTACTTTACCTAAAGCTATTATTATTATTTCATAGACATATATTTGATGTAGTTCGAATATTCAATATCTTCATAAGCAACTACATTAATAAATATAATATAATAAATAATCATTGGATCTGTTATTCTGTAACTTCTAAATAATTCATAAAATTGAAGTCATTATATTTTAATTATTTGTTTTGTATGATCTTTTTAAATGGAATAGTAACACTTGTTGCAGTTGTAAACAAGCAGTTGCCATGTAGCTAATTAGAGTAAAAAAAATAATTATTATAATTATTACAGCTATTAATAAATGTGTATTATTTTAGGCCAACCTGTAATCGCTATTGCTGTACATCCATCAGATAAACTGGCTCTCAGTATTGGAGGTGACAAAACATTGAGGACGTGGAACTTGATCAAAGGTCGTCCAGCATTTACAATCAATCTTGCAAGTAAAGGTGTACTGATGCCCACAGAAATCAAATTTTCTCCAGGGGGTGATAGATTTTCTTTAGTTTCTCAGCAAACTGTAGATGTTTGGACGATAAGTAAGGCTGGACTAGAAAAAAGAATTACTTGTAGCTCAAAGCCAATAGCTGTACAATGGTTGACAGATGAAAGATTATACGTAGGATTAGAGAATGGAAATATAATCACTTTAACTGTAACTGATACTGAAGCACTGACTTACCAGGCACACAAAACAAGGGTTAAGTCACTACATTATGAGAATGAACTGTTGTACTCAGCATCAGGCTCTGGAGAACTAAAAGTTTGGTCCGTAGAAGAATCAAATCTAGTAGAAATAAGCTCTTGCAATGCTGCTTGTAGAGTGACATGTGTTACATTGAATAGACAAAACCATCTTATTAAAAAGGAGGAGCAGAATGACATTAAAGATGAAGAAAAAGTAGTTAGTGAAGAAAGTGATGATTTAGATGAAGCTGAAGAAGTTACAGCCACATCTAAGAGGAAACCAGGAGCATTTGTCACTATAAATTATGGTGATGAAAGAAATGATGAGGAGAGTGACAAAGAATTTAAACCACCACCAAAAAAGAAATGTAAAAAAAGGAAGAGAAACAAAAAGCCCAAAAATCAAATCAATGTTGAATAATATATACTATTATAGATTTTGGACAATCTTGTTTTTGTTATAATTTCAAGTGGTTTCTAAAGGACTAATCGAAATATAACAACTAACTGAGTTGTCAAGTTGAAGGCTTCAAATCTGTTTGAATTTCTAAAATAGTGAAAGATTTAGGTAGCAACCTAAACATTTGCATAGTTTTTGTAAACAAGAGAGAATAAGATAATTCGTCAACCAAGTAATTTTTTAGATTAGTAATAAATTCTTGTGTAATATATCAAACAAACATATTTGTAACCAGAAAAACCATTAAAATAAAATTAAATGTCTATGCACAAAACACTTTTATATTGATTTTGAATATGCAGTAGAAACACCTGTTTGCATTATAGATATACAATCGATACTTCCATATATTATAAATGTAAATGTTCTTGTTTGTTACGCTTTCACGCCTAAACAACTTAAAACTCCTTTAGCAATGGAAAGCTACATTATCAGCGAGTAACATAGGCTACTATTTACTGCAATACCGTCATACAGGCGGGCGGATCCGCGGGTAAAAGCCAGTAGATTATAAATGTGAGTGAGTTCGTTTGTTACACTCTCATGCCTAAACGAATAAACCGATTCTAAAAATTCTTTCAAAAATGGAAAGCTACATTAGCAGCGAGTAACAGGCTACTTTTTTCCGCGATAACCGATATACGACGACAGTCATTTACTTTAATGAAAATCCTACATGTGCATTATCAGTGTGAACATATTCTTATATAGACGGATATGTTTATACCAGTTTTAAGTTTAATTTAAAAACTAGCAGTTACGTTCAACCGACTTTTAAAAAGAAAAGCGAATGTACAGAGTATAAGCATACTTGACAACAGATTTGACCTATGATTAGTTGGTGTGATTGGTGAAGAGTTCGGTGCGGGCCAATCGCAACGCCGAACTCCATCACCGTGACGGTAGACTATATGTGAAAAAAAACTCACACTAGGCCTCAGTTTTAGTTTTTTCATAAACATTAAGAATATTAGCAAGAAAACTCACATCTACATAGCAGATTATATTTTCATTGTCTTCTCACAAAATGCACATGATATTCGCAAAGAACACAGTAAAAAACAATGTGATGTAGACTTTGGTTTGTTTATTAAATTATAAATAAAAAATCTTTCTCTTGAACACACACCCAAATACATAATTAAGTTCATAATAAATTAATTTGGTCCCAAAATAAATATATGTAAATAATCATAAAGAAAACAGTAAATAAAAAAAAACAACATTAAACAAAAGTACTGATCAATTTTGGCAATGAATCTACTTATATTAAATCTTAAACGAAATAAATATTCTAAATGTGTAACATACATCCAGTCACACAGTATGATTTCAAGCTCACTCCAGTAGTCTCCTGTTATTTACTCAACACTGTATTTACATGATTACATGGCAGGTACGGAAACAACTCAATGCACATGAATATACAGACACACACTTACTCATTAGATAATTCACATGATGTGCGCTGCCTAAGGTAATATAATGATAAAGCTTGTCTATAAAAGATCAAAATCTCACACTGACACATCTATTAAGGTAGTCATTTACTGGAATGTATAACAAATCCTGAAGATAGCACTTTATAAGAATAGTATGATAGCAGATATTAATTGAATAAATACTTCATGGGGTTTAAAGATAACCTCTGGTATTCTTACCTGAAATGAGATCACAATATGTTTCATGAATGTCACTTTTCTATACAATTTTAAATATATTTAAAAAGGTTGGCGACATGACATAATGGAATACAATGAGTCACCGTATCACTAAGTACATTTTGTGCATATATTTCATGATTATAAATAAATGCCAAAGATTAACAAAACCAAGTTGCATTGCATTCTCTACAAATATAAAATAAATAAATCTCGTTATCATAATATTGGTGATAATTACATACAAGAAAGTTATCCCTAATTTTAATTACTTGAAATTTTCTAAGAAAAAATTTTACATTTCATAATATGACTTTAGAACAGCTAATTCATCTTATGACTAGATTGAGCCAGTATTATTCTACAGTCCACAACAAAATCTTGAACTATAAGAAAATCTGACACAATTAATACAAAATGTAGGAACGATGAAGAAACCAAGACAATATCTGTTAAGGATATATATGGAAATAGATTACACCAGACAGTCTAAAAATATAAAATGAGTTCTACTTGTCCTGTTCCACATTCACTTATGTCTAATTTTCGATTAATAATATTCGTTTCTTCGTTTGAAGCAGCACTAACGTCACTAAGTCTCTAAGCTATGGGTCAGATGGCACTCATGATGCTATCAGACGCAGCTTCACATCCGCCAACGCCCTATGTGGTTCAGTCACATGAACTTTATTTCAAATATTAATATCTTAGAACGTAACTACACGCAGTCGAAATTTCGTACATTTCATTTAAAAAGAAGAGGCAAGTCAAAAATATAAATATTCTAGACATAAGTAGCTATCCATACTGGGCAATTAATTTATTATATTCACACATTACATAGTTGCCATAAAAAAAAAGAAAATAAGGGACGGTTCACATGAAGTTAAGCCATCGGAATAATAGAAGTAAAGATTTTTAAGAATGTGATTTTATTGAAAAGAAAGTATCTAGTTGTATAGAAAAGATGGTATGTATTTATAAAGAAAAGAAAGTATGTAGTTATGTTTTCAGATTATTTCTAAATTTCTTTAAGACCAAAATAAACAACGTTTCGTATGACCATGAATTCTTCAATGACGTAGTAAGCTCATGTGAACTGACCCATTCTTTGGTGATGGCGTATTATTACGCGTCGTTTTGTTTTTACTTCTTCTTGGCTTTCTTCTCGGCTTTTTTGAGCGCTTTCAAGTGTTTTTCGTGAGCGGCGCGAAGCTCCTTAAGGCGACGCTTCATGCGCCTGCGGTCGTCTCCTCCAAGACCCAAGAGCTTGAGGTCCGCCGAACTGAGCGCCAGCAAAAGGGCACCGTCTACGCCGCGCGCCGCAAACGCGCTGGCGTGGCGCTCGAGACCTTCGCCCAAACCTGACACCCACTGCCATACCTACAAAATATACAACTAACGTATAAAATATCAAACAAGCAGCAACCAAAGTCATTCTAAACCAACGTTCATACAAGTGCATAAATACCAATATAGAGGACTAGAGGAGGATACTCGAAGGCAAAAAATTAAGTGGCAAATTCATGTATCCTATTCAATGTCTCTAATCATATTGTGAACCTAACTTACGAGGTATTCACAAAATAATAACGTCGTGTATGAACTACATACGAATTGCTTTCATACATATTTCTCACACAACAAACCATGACTGAATAGAAGGAGTTCTATTCAGTATATAGGTCGGAGGACCTAAAGACAGATTTAGACGTGTTTTGAGGTAAACACTCAGATTTTTAAATACCTGTTGCTTAGTCCAGTGATTAACGGGTAGCGCTGCGGGCGGGCCGCTCTGCCCGAGCGGTGGGGTGAGGCTGGCCTCCGAAACGGCGCTTGATAACGGCTGCCAGGGCACCTCGCCTCCGACTACGCACGCCGGAGCTTTCTTTACTACAATCATATCACAACCTAACTTATACGTATTGTATATAGACGCATAAACCAGAAACGTATTTTGCGACAAATTCATGCGAAAAAATTCATGAAAAATTATATCACAAATTTTGTTAGACATGTGTACTACATAATTAAGGCAAAGCCCAGAACCACTAAACGACAATTTTTTGTAAACTACAAAAATCTTCTGTTGGTATGTTATCAAAGGAATATCCTGTCCATTTTTTTTTTCCATTGAATAGTTCCATTAGTACGCAAACAAAATACGGATACAGGAGATACGGATCAGGTTTATATGTGTTTAATCTGAAATCTGGCAATAACTTTTACTTATTATTTTCTAATAATTTACCCCGTGACTTTTCTTGGGTCAGACGTCACCGCATCGTACCAACAATATAAGAAAATACATGACGAAATGGCAATTCATTCATTTGCAGCAAACAAATTATATGGTAAAGATGTTTTTTTTTTTTTTTAATTAATTTAGATACACCAATTTGCCAACATTAACATTAGTACCATCACATATGAAAGCCATAAGTGAATCCATTACATATTTTCATTCAACAATAAATTAATAATTTTGCTGTCCCACCCGTTTGAGTGATATAACCTAAGTATTTACTATCTGACTCAATAATTAATAAATTATGTTCTTCAACTAGGAGTTCCCTAGTATTTGCCGCCTTTTTATTGGTAACCAATGTTATAATTTTTTTTATTTCGGTCGAAGTATAGAGCAGTTATTACGTCTGTCTGTTTACGGTGTTTCCAACGAATATTTATTCCTTTCTCTTCTCAATTTATTAAAAAATCAGATTATTTCTTGAAGTTAACCACCTAATAAAGATAAAAAGGTGCGCAAAAAGCTGGTATCATTATTTCTAAATTTGACATTTGCCATTGTGCCAGTTTAGTGTCTAGGATTATGAAACGGACTATAGTTAGTTTCTTCCTTCCTTCCTTTGATGTGGTGCTATTATTGATATGTTAAGTTATTTTAGTTATTTGAGACCTTAATAGAGTAAATATTAAACATAATTCTAGAAGTGTCTATTTATTGAAAATGTGCTCACATATGTAACTAGTCCGGAGTTGTTACAAAAAGCGTCATAATATGAGTAGTATTTAAAACATTCACGTCAACATTCACAACCTTTCGGAAATAAAAGTACATTATACATCATACAATTCTGAAAGAAATAAATTGAGTTTTATTACTACCTACTTGTCTGTAGCTTAATATTGCACGGAAACAATATATAAAATGTATTTCATTTTGTATGCTCAGTACTTTTGTTTGCGAGTGTACCCTCGCAACATTCGGTTTGCAGCCAACTTAGACAACGCAGAGTGATGTGGTACGTAGTATAACTGTTTTTAAGTGTTTTATTAGTT